GCCAACCTTGCAGTTTGAAAGCATGCAAATGCAAGTAGATAAAAAGGTACCACTTTGGTGGGAAGGTAACAGTGTTCTGTGCACTTCAGTGTTCAGTCATGCTGGCCACATGACCACGGAAACCGTCTGTGGACAAACGCTGGCTCCCTTGGCTAGGAAACGGAGATGAGCACCACCCCCAAGAGTCAGACATGACTGGACTTTAAAGTCATGGGGAAATCTTTACCTTTACATTTTATGTAACCTAATGTCTTCCCAATGTTTTGCACTGCAACTCCCATTGGGCAAAGGCGGACTGGAACTCATGTGAGTTGTCATCTAGAACCACATCACCCACATCAGAGCTGATATCCAAGGCTACCCTGAGAGCTTCGTGTCTGCACAAAACTTGAATCCCAGAACCCCTCAGTCTACACTCAGTGTTCTACTCTGAAGAAAACACCAAAAAGAGAGAGGGGAAAAAAACCCAACCCAAGCTGCCTAAAGATGTAGAAGTACAAGAATTCTGCAGGACCAGGAAAGACAAAATTTCCAGACACAGCAAAAAGGCTTTGCAATCAGGAAGTCCTCTAACAAAGGACAGGTTATTGAAACAACTCCCCTGAAGGATTTGCAAGTGGGAAGTCTGGTATTGGACTGGGCTATGGTATCTTTCTGGAAGGGAACATCTGAGCAAGGTGTTTCTGTGCCTTGCATCCTATTCCTTAATGTTCTCTCATGTCCAGGCTCATAGGATGTTTTGCTCATCTCATTTGCAATCACCCATCCTGCTCCAGGCAGACTCTAGACAGTTTCGCTCATTGCACAACGGTAGGCTCAATGCCACGATCTGAGGTACAGGACCACAGGAAATCGAGTGCAAAAGGTTTAGAAACTTCAGCTGGTCCAGAATGTTGTGGCCAGACAGTTGACTGCATTCGGTTACAGGGAGCATGTGACTCTCCCTTGTTAGGACAACAATGGCTGCCCGTTTTTTCCCAGAACAATTTAAACTGCTCGTTATAACCTAGAAAAGCCCAGCACAACTGTGGATCAGGCTCTTTGAAGGACCACATTCTCATGCAAGAGCCTGCCCAGGTGGTAAGATCTTGAGGACAGTTCCTTCCCTCATTCCCACTGCCACAGGGGATGGTTTGGCAGCGTGGTCTTCTTGGTGGCTGCTTTCAGGCTCTGGAAGTCTCTGCCAAGAGAGGTTAAGTTGGGTTCCCCTCTGTTGAGCTTCTGCTGGAAGGCAAGTACATCTTTATTCAGGCAGGGCTTTGGCATGCAAGCCACTCTGCTGCCGAAATGTGTTTTCAAAGTCCTGAACTGTTTACTTCATTTATTATGTTCTAATTGTTTTATGTTAAACTTATTTTTCTTTTAATCTGAGTTTTATTATTAGTAGCTGCCTTGAACACCATTTTAGGTAGAAAGGTGAGGTATAAATTTAATATATAAATCCATACTTAGCAGGGCTCAAATTTGCTCTCTCAGCTCGGTAGACTGGGCATAATTCATTGTATATTTCTTGGCTAAAGGTCAGGGAAGAAGCTGGCTGAGGAACCAACCAGCTGACCATGAGTTCAAGATTTTACTTTATTTTGGGTGCCTCTGGCAAACAAAGAACTTGCCACTTGGGCTAAAGTGTGACAGCAGTTGATACTCAGTCAGCCATGCCTGTTCAACCCAGAGCAGTGACACTAAAACAGTGGCAAAGGGGCATCGAGGCTCTGTTGCACATAACAAGACAATGAGTCAAGCAACCAGTTTGTGTGCCTATCTCTGCTGGGACTGGGCACCTTTGCACTAGTGACTCCCATTCACCTCCCATTTCCTGTCCCACCCTTTGCCACAACCCCGAGGGGTTTGTGAACCAACAAGCAGGGGATCCAAATCATGTGGGGAGCTAACCTTAGGGTGCTACCATCATAATGCACATAATTACTAGCAAACTCTGCTAGGTGCATAGCACACAGCAAAATCAGCTAGGAACTTCTGTCAAAAGGTAAGCCAGTCCCTGACCCAGTTAAAGGGAAAGTACCAGTGCTGGATGGGTAAGCCAAGAAGGCCCAGCCCATGCTGCATTGCATGAGTGCCTCAGCCTGGAGTCACAGGCCAGGAATACTGAGTCCTGCTCTGGCAATATGCCAGGTCCCTTCCTGGAATTTTCAGCTTCCAACAAATTAAAGCCTCTTGCTCTTCTAGGTACTGATGGGATAAAAAAAGTGCAGGTAGTAGTCTAATAAAGCAGGCTTGTACCCAGCCTCTTCCAGTACTCTGACCAAAGTACAGGGATGGCTGGCAAGCATTTAACCATTCATTAAAAAGAGCAACTGAAAATGAAACTACTTCATAAAATTAAATAATTTAAAATGCAGACAATTCAGAACTAAGGCTTGTTTTTCATTTGCTTTTGTTGCTGCTCGTTGATGTTCAGTGGCTCCCATGTCATGCCATTAGGTTACACCAATCCCGCAGAATGCCTGGCTTGGGGCCTGCTGATGACTCCCACCATCACCAGAAGCCCAGTTATTTCTGGAGTAGTTACTAATGATGCCGTGTGCATTTTCTAGGATGGGACAAGCAGGTGCTACACTCAGAAGGGCTTGACTCGCAAGCAGAAAAAGGCTTTTTACGGTTCTAGTCTGTAGCTACGAAAAAGCCTGGCAGATACATTTCTCCACACTCCACTGGACTTTGAACCCAGCACTGGTTCAACGAGGCCGCTCATTCTGGCCCCCATCCAAGGCAAATGACAAGGCGCTCTCCCTTCTATCACAGTGCACTGTTTGTGTGTCATCAATGTGACATGGAAGGGCAGAGACAAGGGGAACCTGTTCTCACTTCGGTATGACCAGGTCGCATATTTACACTAACGCCAAATGAAAGAGCTGCTCATTCAATTACACCCTTGTGAGTACACACACACACACAGCCCTTCAACACCCACTGAATGCTCTCCTCCCCACTCTTCCTTTCCTCCTGTTGCTTCAGGGAATGCTTGTGGCACCTCTCCCTAGAGGTGGTCATTTTCCATCTGTGGGGCAGGTGGGGCCATAAAGAGAACAACTTTGGGACAAAAGGGCCCTGGGAAGCATAGGGAGAGAAAGACTACTGTTCATTGTCTCACAACCTCACAAGCCACTTCCCTGCTCCAAGTTCTCAGGCTGGCCTGCAGCCCAGCAGGCTTCAAACCCTATTATGTTACTTCCAGGTCAGCAGCCTCAGAGGAATGCCACACAACACACACACACACACAGAGGACTTCAGCCTGGTGGCCCTAACAGGCTGCCCAGGCTCCTGGCTGCAAGCATGGCGGCAACGTGGAGCTCCTCGCACTGTTGGCAACACCGCCAGGGGCTCCAGAGCAGGCCCAGAGCTCCACCTCACCGCTGCTCGACCGAAGCCATTCACATGCTATTCATCCTCAGAATGAGCTCACTGCCACTCTCCACATCCATGCCGGGCTGACAGATCTGGAGAGCATGACTTATAAGAATACAACAGGCCTGTCACCCTTTTGGCTACAAGGGAGAATGCATGGATGAAGTGGGGTGGGAGGGGGGAAGCACAAAAGCGGAGTTAGCAGGGGCACTAGAGCAGCAAAGATGATAGCTGCTTTTACGAATCAACATCAAGAAAGTCAAATCCAGCCTCTCCCCCACGGATTTTCTGCTACCCCTCTTCTCCCTTCCTCTCCATCATGCATTCATGCAAGGCCAATCTGCAAATCCTCACAGGACATTAATTCCAGGCCTGGCAGAGACAAAGGGAATGGCGGCTGGAGCTCAGGGTTGCCAAGGCACACAGTCTTGAGCCTGGCATTGCCAGGGAGCTGAACAGGACCATGATAAGGATGCAGAGTGGCCTTTTAGGCATGCTTGTTGAAAATATCCTGTGCCAAGGTAAGGCCAGGGATCAGACACAAGCCTAGCATCCTACAGGCAGCGCTAATTACCTCCCATCTCTCTTCCCCCAGCAGCCATAGCCTAGCCTACCAAGGAGGAAAGGGAAGGAGCTGTACAGCTGGGGCTCTGCTCCTGCCCAACAGCAACACTTCCCCTCAAGGAATTCCACATCAGCAGAGATACCACCAAACAAAGGTAAACACCAATGGTGGCATCCTGCTCCCAGCATCATCAGCCATGACCACTGAGTAGGGTGGGGCAGCAATGACACTCTCCGGCTTTATAAGCCAACTGGACCTCGGGGTGCTCAGCAAAGAGCACCTAGAACCTCTAAGCTCCTTTAAGAACAGGCTAGCCAAGCGCACCACTGACACTGTAACAAAAGCAAATACAAAGCTGGGAGGTGTTGGTGTTCCTGAAAAGTGGGGAGAGGCGGGATTTACACAGGACTGCCTTACAAGAGGAGCAGCAGTAGACAAGGCGAGATGCGCCCCTCCCATGGCAGCCCCCCTAGCTACTGCAAAAAAGGCATCGGTAACATCCCGATCCGTCCCCACCCCGTTGCCCCAATCTCGTTCCACCAAGCTAGGGAAACCAAGCACGTCGCTGGTGGAAGGCATTAGGAGATATTCACCAAGAGGAAAGGTGCAAAGAAGTCCCCCGCGCTGGCTCTGCCAGCCCCACCCGGACTAGCTGGTCAAGGCGACAACGGCGGCCATGCCCAACCCATTGTTAGCGGTGAAAGGGTGGGATGGGAGCAGGAGGGTTGCCAAGGCAGCCCACCGCCCTCCTCCAGCCCTTAGCGGATGCTAGCAGGTAGGACATCCCCTGCAGCCAAGAGCGCCGGGGGAAGCTGACATCTTGCGGGCAGGGGGGGCCGAAGAGATTAGAAGAGAATGCGGCGCGGAAGCAAAGCCCAGGAGCTTCTAAGCCGCTAGAGCGATCGAGTCACAACAGCGCCCCAAAGGGGGCGAAATCACTGCCTTGTCTCTTTACTCCCAGTCATCGAAGCTCCCGCCCCTCCTCGAACAGGGATCAGGAAGGAAAATAAATCACACTTGCCAATATGATACGCGCGCTCTCCCCCGCCCCGCCCGGCTCCAGCCGTACCTGCACCCCCGTAGCCCTTGGCGAGCACCCAGGCCAGGCTGGCAGCACTGCGCGCCCGAGGGAAATCATACTGATCCAAGGGCTTGATCTCGGGCACCAGGAAGCTCTTCCTCATGGCCGCGGTTGCAGCGGGAGCAGCAGCCACCATGGCCCCACCACCGGGGTCTGGAGCTGGGTTCGGCCTGGCGCGGCGGCGGCGGCGGCGGCGGCAACTGCGGAGAACAAGCTGGCGGTAGCGGCGGCCCCAGCCAAGCGCATCCCCGTCCGACTTGCCCTCCCCTCCAGCTCCAGGTGCGAGCGCCCGCCCCGCCGTCCTCGTCTTTGCTCCCTCTCCCTCCCCACGTGATCCGTGCCGTCAATCAGCCCGGGGGCGGGGCTTGCAGACAGGTAATTGCCCCAAGGAGGGCGGGGGGAAGAGGCGGAGTAAGCGGCTTGGGCAGAGTTGAGCAATAGCTGTCGCAGCCGCCGCCGCTGCTGAGGCTGGGTGGGTTTGGCGCGTGCGCGCCTTGCACCAAGCAGGCCAGCGGTAGCGGGAGGGGAGCCCCCGGCTCCATTGATCCATCCTGGAGACGGACGCGCGCCGGCGAGGGGCGAAGAGGAGACTGGGATTTCCCCTGCTGCCGCCGCCGCGCGTGGATCCTCCGCGCGGAGGCTGGGAGCGAACACCCCTGCGCGCGCACATGCGCACCCCGCTGGCCGCGCTCCTGGAGGGAGACACAAAGGAGCCGCAGCCCCGGCTGGAGCAAGCGCACGCGCGCGCTCGGGCTTTTCGCAGGCACACCTCCATGTTGGTAGGCAGGACCCTCCCGCCGAGGAGGAGGAGGAGGAGGGACGGAGGGGAGGATCCCTGGGATCCCCCCGGCCCTCCGCCCGCGGTTTACTCGTGGCTCATTTACTTCTCCAAGACGCCGCACGCATATGTAGCAGGCTGTGAATGGGAGCTTTGCGGAGAGAATGAAGTACAGCTCCGTTCCCTCCCCTGCCTTCTTCCTTTCGAGGGTGTTGTGGGGCTGGAAGAGGGCAAGCGAAGGGAACAAGGCGATGGCTCGCCTTCATGTCAGGGGAAAGGTTAAAAGCAATTATGGGGACGTTTCAGTTAAGGGAAAAACAATGGAAGGCAGCACGATAAGTAGCCTTCTCCAATTTGCTGTTGTCTAGATGTGTTGGACTGCATCTCCCATAAGCCCCAGAGCCGATAGCAATTTATATATGTTTGTATAATATGCAATTGCAGTCCAGCACCTCTGGAGAGCACCAGGTTAGAGAAGGCTGGAACAAAGGTTTCAAAACGGTCCGCTGGAGGGAGAGATTGTGTTTTTTTCTCCTTGTTCCGTAGCACTATAATTTGGGTCAGCCAGTGAGATTGACAGTTGAATCAGAACAGAAGCGGCCGATAATTTGTGCATTTCCCTGCCCAAAGGTGTGGCGAATGCCTCTGGTTTGGGCGGTGATTGGACGGGATGAAGACTGGCTCCGCTCCAGTCCTGCTGATTCCTATAAAGGAAGGCGGGGAGCTTTTTCCTGTTTATGCTTCCCGCAGAAGGGTACCCTTTGGTGGGGGTTATTTCAGTGCAGGAAGGGTTCCTTTTCCTTTTTAAAGCATGGATATGGAACATATGGTGCTCCGAATTTTGTTGGGCTGTAACACACATCATCCTTGTTCATTGGTTATGCTGCTGCAGGCTGATGGGAGTTAGAATCCAACAACCACATCTGAGAGGAAAGGGGGGCATTTCACACTCCCAGGCTGTGCTTGAAGCCACACGCTCGCTTCCATGACATTGTAAGGATTTGGTGGCAAGCCACACATGGTTCTGTGATCATCACACTTAGATGGCTTTAAAAGGGAATGAAACCCAGCCTTTTCCAAAAATTTGGCTATCAACAGATAATTAACTATGAGTTCTAAATGGGTCTCTTGTGTTGATATACCTCTGATACCAGTTGTGGGAGGGGGCTGCAAATACTGAGTGGGCTGTTACCCTCACTGCATGCTTCCAGGCTGGATCTGGACTTCCATCCTTGGAAACGGGATGAATGGATGGATGGATGGATCTGTGCTGTGCTCCAACTTGGGTCCACCTGTGCTTGATCCCCACCCCATATGTGGAATACATTGTGAATTGGTGGATTTCCAGCTTCAGAAGGGGACATGCTCTGGGTTTTAACCTAATGGATAAGGAGAGAATGCTAGTCCTGGCATGTGAGCAATGGAGAGGTCAGTGGCTGCTGGCCTTCCAGATTTCATATATGGTTCGTATTGTAGTACATGGGGCATGCTGGGTGGTGCTGATGAGACTTGGAGACCTGCAGTGTCTGAAGGACCACATGTTCCCCACCTCTGCTTTCATAGGTATCCTCAGCACAACTCAGCCAGGCATTTGCTGAGTGCAGTCGCTGGAGTGACGCATGCAGTACCACTTGGCCTCTGAAGCCTTAAGTAGTCTGAGTCTTACATTTTCCCATGGAATGGCATCTTCTGCATGGGCCATCCTGGTGGTTAACTCCTGCAGGTGAGTCTGCACCTGTGTGGCGGCCAGGTTGGCCTGGCCAGTGCTCTAGGATGCCATCAGCCCTCCCAACTGCCTCGTTGAAGGCAACCTTTCAAACCTTTGCATTTGCATGTAATTTTGCTGCTCTTAGAAAAGCAGCAACTGATGGTCTGCATGTTTTTATTAGTCTTATGTATTTTAGGGTGCAATTGCATGCATGTTGAGAAAAAAAATCTTTTTGAGAGCCCACTATCGGGCCTATGCTGTGGCGGTGAAGGCGGCAAAAAAGAAGTTTTTTTCCGCTTCCATTGCCTCCTCACAATGCCGTCCAGCGGAGCTTTTTTGAGTGGTGCAAGGCCTGGTTCGCCTGGGTCCTAAGGAAGATCCGATGCCACCCTCAAAGGCCCGCTGTGACGACTTTGCCAGGCATTTCAGGGAGAAAATCGCTCAGATTCGTCACGAGCTGGACTCCACTAATGAATCAGAGGTCTCTGAGGAGTCGCCAATGCCACCGTCTGGTCCAAAATTACTGGAGGAATTTCAATTATTGCGGCCCAATGATGTGGACAAGGTGCTTGGAAGAGTACGTCCCACCACTTGCCTATTGGATCCTTGCCCGTCTTGGTTAATAAATAACTCCAAGCACGGGATTGGGACCTGGATTTTGGAAGTGGTTAACGCTTCTCTGAGGGAGGGCCGAGTGCCTGCCCCTTTAAAGGAGGCGGTAATACGACCGGTCCTGAAGAAAGCGTCACTGGATCCAGAGATGGCCACTAACTATAGACCTGTGGCCAACATCCCGTTTCTGGGCAAGGTGCTGGAGCGAGTGGTGGCGGGACAACTCCAAGCACTCTTGGAGGAAACTGATTATCTGGACCCATTTCAGTCCGGCTTCAGACCCGGGTACAGTACTGAATCTGCCTTGGTCGCCCTGTACGACGACCTGTGCAGGGAGAAGGACAGGGGGAGTACATCCCTGTTGGTTCTTCTGGACCTCTCGGCGGCTTTCGATACCATCGACCATGGTATCCTTCTGGATAGACTTGCGGGATTGGGGGTTGGAGGCACTGCTTTGCAGTGGTTCCGCTCCTATCTCGACGGTCGATTCCAGAAGGTAGTGCTGGGGGACCATGTCTCTACGTCATGGCAGCTATGCCATGGGGTACCACAGGGCTCCATTCTATCCCCTCTGCTATTTAACATCTATATGAAACCGCTGGGAGAGGTCATCAGGAGGTGTGGGCTGCGGAATCATCAATACGCTGATGATACCCAGCTTTACCTCTCATTCTCCACTAATCCAGGTGAGGCAGTGGCTGTGCTGAACCGGTGCTTGGCCGAGGTAAGGGAATGGATGAGGGCCAATAAACTGAAACTCAACCCAGACAAGACGGAGGTCCTGTTGGTTGGCGGATCGGGTTTCGGAGAGGGTGGATTTGACCTGGTCCTGAATGGTGCAACACTCCCTCTTAGGGATAAGGTCCGCAGCTTAGGAGTACTCCTCGACCCGGAGCTTTCTTTGGAAGCTCAGGTGACAGCGGTAGCGAGGAACGCCTTCCTTCAGCTTCGGCTGATTAATCAGCTGCGCCCCTACCTGGAGTACGACTGCCTGGCGATGGTGACACACGCGCTGGTGACTTCCCGCCTAGACTTCTGTAACGCGCTTTACGTGGGGCTTCCCCTGAAGACAGTCCGAACACTTCAATTGCTCCAAAATAGAGCTGCCAGGTTGCTGACGGGGACGGGGCGTTATGCTCACATGACTCCAGTCCTCCGTCAGCTTCACTGGCTTCCCATTGAAGCCCAGGCCCAATTCAAGGTGTTGATTATGACCTACAAAGCCCTAAACGGCTTGGGTCCTGGCTACCTGAACGAGCGCTTACGTCCGTATATGCCCGACCGCCCTTTGAGATCTGCGGGAGAGTCCCTTCTCCGGGAACCCTCCATGAAAGAAATTAGGAGAGTAAGTACCCGGAGGAGGGCTTTCTCTGCGGTGGCGCCCAACCTATGGAATTCACTCCCCAAAGAGGTCCGCCTGGCACCGTCGTTACTGGTTTTTCGGCGCCAGGTAAAGACCTTTTTATTTAAACATCATTTCAATTGTTAAAACATATGATCTGGCCTGGGCAACTTCTTCTTCCTTCTCTTTCTCCTCCTATATTTTTTATTTTATACTGATAATTTTAATTTTGTATTTGTAAATCAATGTATTTTTTGTATCTTTATATTTAATGGTAATTTATTATGTACTATTGTATTTCAATGTATTTTATCATGTTGTAAGCCGCCCCGAGGTTTCGGCAAGGGGCGGCATAGAAATATAATAATAATAATAATAATAATAATAATAATAATAATGATGATGCCCAGCTTTCCCCAGCCAACATTGTAGGACTTTTCCAACCTAAACATGAGTAGAAATGTACCCTTCATAACTTAAATCTGGAAGTTTTTTTTTTTTTTTAAGTGATGTAGAAATGTTTAAATAAAAAAATCATCTTGCTTTTATTTCATTGTTGTTAATATTGGATCTGCTAAACCACTAAATCAAGGAAAGTAGGTTGAACCAAATCACTTTCTGAGCTTCACTGGATTGCTCAGGAAAGATGAAGATACGTATAACCGTCATTCATCCTGTTCTACCCTTTATTCAGAAGCTGGTCCCATTGCATTCAGTGATCTTGCTCACAAAAGGAAGTGAAGGGATCATGATCCAAATCTAATCCTACTGCAGTGAGTGGTTGGTGCTAATTAAAAAACCTATCGGAGGACTGGATTGTAT